GGGTTACTTAGCAATTTAGCAAGACCTTGGCTCCAAAGAATCAAAACGAAACAAAAAGAAAAACCAGAACTACGAGAGAGAATCCATTTGCGGGTTCTGTTGGTTTGTTTTTGCGGTCTGGAGATGGACCCACGGCTGTGGGCAGACCAGGGAAACACTGCATGGAGCTGCGGCTCTGGCCTGCACTTCTGTTAAGAGCAGCCTGCCAGCCGGGTGGCACACACCTGCCATCCCAGCATTCAGGAGGCTGAGGCAGGAGACTTGCCATGGTTAGAGGCCAATCTGGACTACGTGGCTGGGCCTTGTCTCAAAAAACCAAAACAAACAAACAAAACAAAACAAAACACTGACCACTTTGTTAGCTCAGTTGCACAAACACAAGGTATTTCTCAAGGTCAGGAACATTGTGGGCTCTGGAATCCGTGAATAGCTCTGTATTTGCAGTGCAGAGCATGGCCTGTGATGATTTCATTTCAGCGGGTGTTGGGGGTAATCCTAACAAGCAGGAATAAAGGAAGATGAAAAGAAAATAAGATGGTTACTTATGATGGGGAAAGTTTGGGGCAATAGGCTCCCTCTTCCTTACTCTCTTCCTCATAATTGTGTCTTTTTTATTTTTGGTTAAGACGGGGTCTCACTATGTAGCCCAAGCTGGCCTCGAATTTACAGTGATCCTCCTGCCTCAGCCTCCCAAGTGCTAGGATTACAGGCGCACGCACCACACCTGGCTTATAGCGTTGTATTTACATAGCGGTCTAGGGATCGACCCAGACAAACTGCCTGTCTTCCCGTTTCCCTCTCCGTGCCTGTTCTGACCACAGGCCGCCTCTGTTCTGCCCCCAGCGCTGCCGCCTAACCCCTTCTGCACCAATAGCGCCGCCCTGGACCAGAGCCGTGGGTCATCGGGGTGGAGGGGGACGGGGTGAGGCTGAAGGTGGCCGGACTCCCCGTGGAAACCAGGGACAGCACTCTGGGGGCACTGCAGCCCCGCGCCCACCCTGGCCTCCTCATAAGGGGCAGGTGCCTCGTTCTGTTGGCTGAGGATGGGCTTGGCCAACACACCAATAAAACGGCTGTTACTGAATCCGGAGGTGATGCTAATGAAAGGGCGGTAGGAGTCTTAGGAAATCCAATAAAGCCCTTTAATTAACCTTGACAATGGCCGTTAGATGGGCAGTTAGCATCACTTGCTTGGTGATTGAACAGCTGATATGAGAAACGGCTCCCGAGCTGGATCCACCTTTCGGTGAGAGCGGGAAGCGCAGCGGTGCGTCGCTGTCTGTTTACTGTGCACGTACTACTCACCAGGAGCTGGGCCGAGGAGCAGTCATGGCCCCTGAACTGGGGGTGCTTCTGACCATTGGAAAGTGACTTCCCCTCCTTCCCCTCCTTAGAGGACGGAGACCCACTGGCATCGAGGCCAAAACACCAGAAAAGAAGAAAGATATAATTTAGGGGAGGCAGGCGTGGTGCTGGGGAGGTAACTCGGGCCTCTCTCGTGCCAGGCAAGTGTCCAGCCGCCGAGTGTGTCCCCAGCTGTTTAGTTTTCAATTTTATTTTGAAACAGTCTCAACTGCCCAGGCCACTCTGAACTTGGAATCCTCCTGCCTCAGCCTCCCCCGAGTAGCTGGGATCACAGGCGTGCACTGCCACGCCCCGGCAGGAACGCAGACCTTGCGACTCCGTGTTTTTTTCCCGTTGAGAACCGCTGTCTGGTCTGAGGCAAGAGCTTGCCCAGAGCCCGCCTACCATGTGTGCTTCTGGGGGCTGCGGGCCTGACGGCTGGGGCGGGGGCGGCCTGCAGGGACCAGAAGGACCGATGTGGCCCCAGGGGTGAGTCCCGGGTCACAGCCAGGGCGTAGGTCCAGATCCAGCGCGGGAGCCAAGTCCAGACCGGCCGCGTCCCGCTCACCGCGGCCAACACTGCCCCCTGCCGGCCTCCACGGACACAGGCGCCGCAGCTCCGGGCAGCCCTCCCCGCTTTGCTTCTGGCTTGTTTAGCTGCACAGACGATTGAACCCAGGGCTTTTGCACTGAGCTACATGCCCAGACCTTTTTATATTTTAAAACAGTTCCTAAATTCTCCAGGCTGGGCTCAAACGTGCAACCCTCCCGCCTCAGCCTCCTAGAGCTCTGGGATTAGAGGTGTGCTTCTCCGCGCCCGGCTTATTTCTTCATATAAAAGAAATGTGGGAGGAGCAACCTGCAAGAGATCTATCTTCAGTTCCGTCCAAAAATGGGCGGGCTTTCTAGACCCCAGACAAGGAGGTTGCCAGGACCCTGGCCTACAGAGATGCCGGAAGCTGGTAAACAACAGGGACCAGCCGGCAGCAACCAGGAGAGGGGTGTGTGGCGCTAGCAGGGTCTCTAGCACCCTACACCGGGCTTGGGTTTAACCTCCAGTACTGCAAAT